GAAAGCCAACCAAAATAATTGCAATCCCGTCCATAATGAGGGATGTGAGTGTTTGACTTGGTTTTTGAATTGAATGAGTTGACTTTGACTTATCTTGATGGAGTTGACTTTGACCTTGACCAAGTGGACTTTAACTTGCCATAAAAACACTTAAAAATGCATAACTTGCACCAAATTGAAGTGCATAGTTCTAACTTCTTGCACATCTTCCTTTATTTCTCTTGTCGAGTTCAAGAACGCTTGGACATGAAGTAGCAAAGCTTGTTGAAGTTTCCTAGCTCTCGATCTTGTAATCGGTCCATGAGGCATAACAACGGTAGCTCCTTGGTTCATATCACTGTTCATGTTTATATTATTGTTTATCATTTCAAGACCTTTCTAAAATTGTGTAGAAATTTTAGAAACACACAAATAAAATTTCTTATTTCTGATTCATATTTCCAATTTCTTTTCTAAAACATAGGTAAGAGTATTATTTTATTTCTTATAAAATACATACTAAATATACAAAAATAAATATAACATAAATTTTTTTAATATTTAATTTGAAATGTTAACTTTTATATCAAGCTTTTACATTTTTTAATTTAAAATTTAGAAGGAGAAAGATAGAACAATAAACAGGAACATTATCAAACTCAACGTTACACTTTTAATATTTTTACAAGTCTATTTGATTCCTAGTTTTCTAAAAACAAGTGATTTAGTCTTTTGGATTTATAAAATAATTCATCGTAGTTCATGCCATTAAAATTGGTGGATGATTCAACATGAACTTAGCTCAGTGTTAATTGACACAGTTTTCTGACTATAAAAACTCACAAGTTTGAATCCCCTCACCTCCACTTATACGAACAAAAAATTAGTGGAGGTGATAGGTGATATATTTTTCTGTCACATTAGCATAATATTTCTTCTATAATACGTCAACATTGTTATAAGAATTAATTAAAAAAATATAGTTGACTATATATTATTTTGATGTAAAAGAAAAGAAAAATAGAGAGTCATGTAGAAACATATACTTATTTGTTTCGTGTAACTTTAATTTTAAGAGTGTAGATGCAAATAACTTATCGATACTTGAGAGTATACTTTACCAATCAAGGTAGAGACTATGTTGTAACAAATTTCAAACCATAAAGATAAATTGTTATGTACGAAACTAAACTATTACTAATTCGAGAGTAAAGATGCTCAATTGTTATAATTTGAGATCGGATGTTATTTCAACCAAACATAAAAGAGATTAATGGTAGTTTTTAACCCGTGAATATTTTTACATCATAAAAGAATTTAAAACTCACCCAATTTTCTATTAAAAAATTGTGAGATGAGTTGTATTTTTTAAACCATCAATATTTCTATGTTATAAAAGAATTTGAAATTCACTCATTTTCGATAGAAAAATCGTGAGATTGAATCTTCAAAGATGTAACAAAAATGGCCAAATGGCCAAATGGCCAAATGGCAAACGCTAAGGCGAGAGTGGCGATAAAACGGGAGGAAGAAGAAAGCGGTCGGGGAGAGAAACAATAATGGCGAGAACTTGGAGGACCCGCCATGGCCAACGAGTTTTGAGTTTTTTGTTTAAAGCATAAGCACACTACATTCTTCGGCCTCTCACAGTCCTTCACCTCCGTTCAACACCAAACAAAGTCACCCAAATAAGTAAACAGGGCGGCTCTCTCTCTCTCTCTCTCTTGCTCTCCCTTTTCAAAAAGCGAACCAGCTACTTTTTCCATTCTCTCTCTCTCTCTAGAGCTTAATTAATGTTATTCCGTTTTTCTGAGGAGCTACCGCGTATCTGATCCGAGAATCGGAGACCAGAAAATCCCCCCCACTTGTTTGATTTCTTGACGCAGTTTTTTTCAGTCGTCTGTAAGTCTACTGCACCCTTTTTGTCTCTATTTTGAGCTTTGATATGGGGTTTCTTTTTTGTGTTTTGGGTTCGTACGGAATCTTCGGTGGATTGGGGTTTTGTTTTTGTTAATTATATGCTTGTTGGTTGGTTTTTTTTTCTCTTCTTTATGGGTTTGTTTTGTGTTGTTGTGATCTTCAGTTGTAATTATAAATTTCCACATTGTTTTCCATTCGCGTTGTTGACGGTCAATTTTGAACCCAATTCGCCAAATTGTGTCTGTGTTCTCTGGAATGGGTGTTTTCTGTGATGGCTATGGGGTGCCTAGAAAGTATACGTGGGAAAAAAACACTAGACAATTAGAATGAGATTTTTGTCATAATCAATGAAATTTCTTGTATGAGTTGTTTTAGAAGTTTCTGAAAAAATTATCGATCCGATGAAGCTAAGCTAGATAGTCTTTACTGAGCTCAATATTTTGTCGTCTTGTTTTCTTACCCACGTTTCACGGCACATCTCTAGCAATTTTTTGTTTTTGTTTTTGTTTTTTTTAAATTGCCCTTGAAATAAATTTTTGTTAAAAGATGTGCTTTGCCTATTGTTTCGTTTGGTTCTTTTTCTATGGTGCTCTAGACTATTGAATGCTGTTAAACAGATCAATCTGGTGTTTTACAGAGTAGCCGCCTTGAAAATGACAAGGATAAGCCGTACTTATAGTGACACAATGCAAAGAGAGGGTGTCTCAGCTGTATCAGCTGATGTGATATTTGCTTCTAGTCGGTTTCCAAATTACAAGATTGGAGCTAACAATCAGATTGTGGAGGCTAAAGATGATCCCAAAGTAATATCAATGAAGGAGGTAATCGCTCGTGAGACTGCCCAGCTGTTGGAACAGCAGAAACGCCTCTCAGTTCGAGATTTGGCCAGTAAATTTGAGAGGGGTTTGGCTGCTGCTGCTAAGTTGTCAGAAGAGGTAAGGGTTTTCCAATGAAAAGTTATGTTTCCTATCAATACAAGAAAAACCCTCCACTTGTACATAATTATTTTAGAAGTTAAATATCTGTTTTGGTATTGCTTGATTATTGTCAGGTTATCTTGTCCCGTTCAAGAGAAAATTGGATAATCATATAAGAAATCATACTCTTAAAAATATGTTTTTCTTTGAATGTGTTTGGAGGATTTAGCTACTCCGTACATAATGTAAATGAGTATAAAAAAAAGTTTATCCCTCCCACTTGGCACACACATAAATTTCCGTTAGATATTAAACTTTTAATAATTAAGTTATATTCATTGGATTCATTTCATTTACATTATTTGGTGCAAGTTGAAGAATACGGATTAGTTCCCTTTGGTGAATTTTTCTTTCATAGTTCGATTTCATTTATTAATTGGGGATATCTGAGATTAGATGTAAATAACGAAAATACACTAATTATAATCTAATTATTTGTGTTTTTTGGAACTGTGCTTCAAGAGCCATGCTGTAGCACCTTTGGTTAGAGAGGAACTTCCAAGTCTTTGAGTATAAATCTTCCACTTTTGATATTTTTTACAGAAATGTATGGCACACCTCCTCATGGTGGTGTATCAATTACTAGAAATTCTTTTGTAATTACAACATTTCCTTGTTTATGAACAATTGGAAAGTCTTTACTAGTTTTTTTGGGTGGGGTTCCCTCTACCCCAGCCCTTAGGTCGTTCCTCCCTCTTTTTGTCTATATAAAGTTTCTTATCCCAAAAAAAAAAAAAAAATCTAATTATTTCTGCAATTCAGGCTAGACTAAGAGAGGCAGCTTCACTGGAAAAACATGTTCTATTGAAGAAGCTTAGGGATGCATTGGAAGCATTAAGAGGACGTGTTGCTGGAAGGAACAAGGATGATGTAGAGGAAGCAATTGCAATGGTGAGTTTTCTGATTTCCTAGATGATCGCACCCTTCAAAACATGCATCTAGAATTATTATTATAATTTTATTTTCTAACTTCTTTTGCTACTGATGCTATCTCTGAACTTGAGAAAATTAATGAGAGTGCTTGATTGCGCTTATTCTAGGTGGAGGCCTTAGCAGTTCAACTTACTCAGCGGGAAGGGGAATTAATACAAGAAAAGGCTGAAGTGAAGAAGCTAGCTAATTTTCTCAAGCAGGTGAGTTTAGCATTGTAATTAAAGTTGGTTGATAGTTCTCCATATCTCAAAAGCACATATATTAAGAACTTATAGCTGTTTCTTCTTCTTGTTTATTTTAATGAGAAACAAGCTTTGTGATAAATGAAATATACAAAAAGAGAAACAGGCTTGTTTTTGGGGGAGATTTTTGTGGCAGGCTTTTTTTTTCTTCCCTACTTTATGGGGGATTTGGCTGGAGAGAATAGAGTTTTTAGAGGTGTAAAGAGGTTCTTTGAGTCCTTGTGGTATCTCATTAGATTTAACACGTTCCTGTGCGTGTCGGTTTCTAGAGTGTTCTTTAGTTGGTTATTTATTTATTTATTCTTTTTTTTTTTTGTTCTTTTTGTATGCCCTTTATATCTTTTCATTTCTCTTGATGAAAGTTCGGTTTCTCATTAAAAAAAATATATATACAAAAAGAAGAGACGACGCCCAAAGAGCTGGGTAATTCCAAAAGTCCTCTTTGGAGAGCCAGCTGATAGATGCACTTCATGACCTTGGTAGTATTCAGCCAAGGACAACAAATGCTGTGATGTTTTCTCCTTTTGCCTAAGGTTATTGCTATTTATGACATTTTCTAAAAGATGCTGCATTAGATGAGATTTAGTCATTTGTCTTTTTTTTTTATATGAAAAGATTTAGTCATTTGTCTATTGAGTATTAGTAGACTTTTTCCCTCAACTATATTCTTATGAGACGATTGGCAAATATAGTGCCTTTATTAATTTTGAAAAAAGCCACTTAAGAAAAGTCATCTTTGCAATCATGTTTACTTTATTAATTATTGGTTACTTGTCAGCTTTTGAATGGTTATGAGTTATGCGTATTTTAGTTTAGGCAACGCATCAACACTAGTTGAACGTGTGACCCTCCAACACTCGTCAAACAATTGCTTTATACTTAAATTAAAGTGCTAAATAGTTTACTTTGTTTTTAATATTTGACAGATCAATGGGGGCAAGTGGTTAAATTAATTAATTTTTTAATTTTGGTTTTGAATTCTATTCAAGTACTGTGACTCCCTTGTATTAGCGTTTGATCCCCTACCTTTTGTAATTTCATACCATCTATGAAATTGTTCATTATAAAATGTATTTTATATCTAGTACTTTACTCTAAGGTATTGCCTTTTACAGAATGATTCCTCCACATTCTTTTTTGTTCCAGTGCTGAGAGTTTATTTTGTTCTGCAGGCATCAGAAGATGCTAAGAAACTTGTCGATGAGGAAAGAGCTTTTGCACGTGCAGAAATTGAAAATGCAAGAGAAGCAGTTCAGAGAGTGGAAGAAGCTCTTCAAGAACATGAACGAATGTCTCGGGCAGCTGGGAAGCAGGTTTTCTCCTCCTCGATTATTGTTTTTAGGGATTATGTATTACGCGTCCACAACCCATCTCTTATTTGTAACCTTGTATTTGTTTTTCCCTATAGAATAAATTTTAACATCCTTTTTAAAAAACAATATATTCAACCAATTAGATGAATGGATACAAGCTAGGGGCTGGTGGTAGAAAAAAACCACTGTCAAAGAACTCTATTACACGAGCACCCTTCGAACAAGGTTGATTCAAAAGACTCTATGGCTGGAAAAAAATTTGTATTTATGGCACCCCGACAAGAATTGAGGACTTGTACAAAATCACAAAAACTATCCATGGGTTTCTTTCCACCATGAAGGATCCTTCGTTATTTTCCAACCCTGAAGCCATATATCGCTCTATCCTAAAAAAATATATATATATATATATATATCTTGTGTTTTCTTTCATTTATTCTCAATGAAATTTTATGGAATAGAGTTTTGGTTAACCTAAAGAGCTTTATAGTTGGACAAGTTTAATGATTGATAAGTTTTAGGGGATAGATATATTATTACTTTACTTTTTGTTAGTGAAAGAATGTAAAGTATTCATATTTTTATATTACTTACGTTTCTATGTTCTCTAAATGGGATAATTTCTTGTAATTTCCATATTTTGTTTTCAGTCTGAGGATTTCTTATCCTCATCTATCTATTCTCAAAATGTTTCTTTCATATTTATATGATTTCTACGTAAAATATAAAGCTATATATGGTGCATTGTTGTCGCTCTTAATTTTTTCCCTAATTTTCAATAGCTTATCTAGCACAATTCATTAACGTGTTTAGGACCTGGAAGAACTAATGAAGGAGGTTCAAGAGGCTAGAAGGATCAAAATGCTCCACCAACCAAGCAAGGTTCGCATTCTATCCTCATTCTTTATGCTGTTATTATCATATAGCTTACACTTATATCCCTTGTAAATTAATTTAAGTTGCTCTATCATCATTGAGTTTGCATTTTGAATAACTTTATATGGTAATAAATAGCAAAAACAAAAACTATGACTCTCTATGTGGTTCTTTTGAGAATGGATAAATTAGATATTGCTCCATCTGGAGACTGGAACAAGCCTTAAGAATTCAACGCTTCTATTTTCAGTGCTACTCAATATCCCTTAGATTTTAACTAATTTTCCTGCTATTATATATTTTTCTTGTAAAGTATGTCAAAGAATTTAGTACATGTAGGTTATGGACATGGAACATGAGCTTCAGGCATTGAGACTGCAACTTGCCGAGAAGTCGAAGTATTCTATACTACTTCAAAAAGAAGTAAGTTTGTTATCTTATGATATGAGCAACTTTGATTTATGATATTATTTGTTTTCTGTTGGTTTGATAGTTTCGTGAACACTGCATGTGACCTTGAGAGTGATCCTTTTATATGCAATTTCTTCGGGGTGAAGCATATTTTTAGCTGTAAGTTAAAGAAAACACTATATTACAAATGTCATTTCTAAAATTGCATAAAAATGAAATAAACTATGATAATTGAGGATATTTGCGTCATCTAATTTCAGATTTCTTCTCAAAGACTCCCCGTTGGCTGTGGTACCCTTATCCACTAGTTGTTATGAGCTAAATAATTTTTGGCTGTTCCAGCATTGTTAACTTTCTAAGTTGACCTTAACTATTTTTAATATCCCACTGGTTCCAGTGCGGTTTGACTTCCTATGAACATTCAACATGTAACTATCCTCCGATAGAAATGAAGAACAGGAAAATATATATTTTCAAGCCTCTGTAATAATTGTACTGCAAATGAAATTTGGATATAATCATATAGTTTCGAAAGACCAGCAATTTCAGGGAATTGTTATTTATTATTTTTTAATGAGAAACCAAGCTTTCAATGAGAGAAAATGAAAGAATGTACAAAGGGCATACCAAAAAAAAAAAAAAAAACACAAAAGGGGATCCGCCTATAAGAATAGACCCCAATCCAAAAGAATGACACCTCACAAAGCGTTAAAGTCCGAGATTCAAAGAGAGGTATTAAATCTCTCCCAGACCTCCCTATAAGATCTCTCAACTCCCTTGAAAAACCTGTTATTCCTTTTCATCCAAACACTTCACAAGATGGCAGCCTGCCATAACAAAGGCCCTTTATTTCGGAGCGGTGGGAACAACAACACCTCCTCCAACGAAGTGCTACAATCTCTATTACCTGCCCAAGAGACCTCGCAAACCTCTAGAAATCGATTCCAAATAAGCTGAGGAAACTGACAACTCCACAAAATATGATTAAGGTCCTCAGAAGCGTTTTTGCAGAGGACGCACTACTGAGGCCCACAACTACAACAAGGAAGTATGTCTCTGAATACGGTCCAAGGTATTAACTATTCCACGTAAAACTTGCCAGACATAGAACTTAACCATCTTCGGAATCTTTACCTTCTAGAGGGATGAAAAAATTGAGGTCTTAAGGGGAAGCAACGGGGCACTCCGAAGCTAGAAAAAGGAACTACAAGTGAAACCCAAAGACAGGTTAGGGGCCCAAGACCTAATGTCTTTCTCCCCTGCATGAGACGGACATCTCCTAACAAAGCAAGCAAAGTAGTAACCTCCGGCTCCAGTGCTTTCCTATCCGTCAAAGATTGATAGAGACCCAAATAAATAAAATGAGGATTTCCTCAACACCCCAAAATAGAGGCCACTGAGGTTCATTCAGGGAATTATTTTTTAACCCAGCACATCATTCGGAAGAATCATAACAATAGTTTCTTCTATGCCAAAAGCTTTGCAAATACAAACGGACCCTGTCAAAAACCTCAAAATAACGATCAATAAGAGCTTTTTTTTAGAAGAAACAGTATATATATATATATATATATATATATATATATATATATATATATATATTTTAAAGAATCAATAAGAACATTTTACATATTCATATTTCCTTAGGGTTGAGGAAGCAAGGAGAAACAATTTCCTTCATATTCACATTTAACCTTCCAAAGTTTAGTAAATAGTAATGAAAGGGGATTGAGGCCAATTGGATGAAGAAACAAGCCAGCTAAAAGAGAATTGCACGAAAAGGCATCAAAAGAATCAAAAGACCACACATATCGATCCTTATAACCTGACATGAATCAACCCCTTGAACCCTTGAATAATAGATAGAGAGAGGAAAAATTTAAACCGCCTCTCTATCAAAACGAGCCCTGAGATGGTAACTGTGAGAAATGGTCCTCCCACAAATTTAAGGAAGGAGGCAATCCAAGTGTTTGCAAGAATAAGATTGTGCGGGGATCATTTCTCATAAGGACGCTATCCAAGTGCTCTCAGCAATTATTTTACCCTTTTTTATCTCTTCGAAAGTAAAAGGGGGCCTCCAAACTCTCCAATTTTCTTTTACCAATAGGTTCTTTTTCTTTTCTTTATTTATTTGGATAAAAACTAACTCTAATAAAGAAAATTGAGAGAACCAATTGTAATTGTAATCGAAGTTGAAGCAATGTAGTTAGGTGGTGTGAGTATGCTGTTCAGTGTTCATTTTTATTCACTAGTTCTTTTTGGTTATTTCCTTTATTCCTTTTTTCTCTAACTGGTCCAATTTTACGGTATTCTCGAAGATACAGATTCTTTTTTATTTATTTTTAATTATGCTTCCCTCTCTTCTTTATCCTGTCACTTTTTCCAGCTTGCAATAAGCAAGAAGGCAATGGGAGACAGCTCCAGCCTTTATGAGATAGATGGCACCGAATCCTTGGGTTCTTATCTCCATATCCAACCTTGCTGTGATATTGCTCCAGACCTTTCAAAATGCTCTATTCATTGGTACCGCATAGCATCTGAAGGTGGCAAGAAAGAACTTATTTCAGGTACTCTAGACTTGATAACTACAAGGTTTTAAGTTTAGTGGTATTTCCATTGTCACGGGAATTCCAAAATATTCCTTTTTCCTAATTTTGATTTGAACTGTTATTATCACAGGAGCTACAAAATCAGTTTATGCTCCAGAGCCTTTTGATGTTGGGAAAATCTTGCAAGCTGAAATTAGTTTAGATGGCCAGAGTATCACTTTGACAACCACTGGCCCTATTGATCCAGGTAGTTTAATAGGTTGATGTGTGTATAAGTATCCATTGATATGTATGTAAAGTAATAAATAATTCTTGTCTTGGTTTCTATAACTGTGTAGCGCTTGTTTTGCTTAAATTCATGGGAAGGAACTAAATGTTAGCTTTCTAACAGCTGCTGGTCTGGGAAGCTATGTTGAAGCACTGGTGCGGAAGCACGACGTTGAATTTAATGTATGTCATCCTACTACTTATTTAGAATTTTTATTATGCAAGACTGGTAATGGCTCATGAAAATATCATTAGCATATGACTGTTCCGACACCGACATATGACTGTTCTGACTCCCAGTTATCGAAAAAAAAAAAGGTCATAATGTGAAGGTTGCCTAGAAGGATTTAAGATTGAGGTATACCAAGATAAATTAAAACTGTCCAAACAAAAATAAAACAAACCCACAAGGGGACTACAGTACATCGTGTCAACTGATATGTAACATGGCATAGACTTTTCTTTGACAATATACAAGAACCAAGTGGGGAAGCAAGGAAAAACTCTCTGATTGTGTTTTGTTGATTGTTAATAGAAAAGGAGAGTAATTACAAGGGTTTTTGGACAAAGAACTCCATCTTAGAACTAGGTTACCAAATTCCTAACTTGTTTTTCTTCAAAAAACAGAAAGCTGATCTAGAGCAATTTCAAAATATCATTGTCCTATCTTTCCATATAAAGTTTAACAGTTCTGTTTCTTAGTTGAAAAAGAAAATAGAAATAAAAATTTAAAACCGCCCCGTCTTAATCACCTGCATTTTAATATTTCCTTGTTCATGAACTCATTATCTATTACATGTTGCTCTTGTAGTTATTTATTTTTGTTTATAATTATATTACTGTCATTATAACACGTCTTAAATAGTTTCATATAGATTTTCTTTTTCATAGATTTATACCAGGGCTTCATTGAAGACTCTTGCTTCTTATCTAAAAAAGAAGACTCTTGCTTCTGCTTTTTCATCTGTGGATTGTCAACTATCTCCGCCATCTTTTTATGGAGTGCACGAACTCCATTTTATTTTTCTATTTCAGGTAGTTCTTACCCAGGCGAATGGAGTAAATCATCCATCGGAGTTGATACATGTGCTCCATGTTGGAAAAATGCGGATAAAGCTCTGCAAGGGAAAGAACACAATAGCTAAAGAATATTATTCTTCCTCAATGCAGGTAAATTGAATATTATTTCAAATTTCGAATTAGCTGCAAAACTAAGAAGAATTTTACCAGTTTGGACGTAAACAACTAAACATATCTACATAGTCACTGACTCACTAGTCACTACTAACACATTATTTAACTTAGTTATGTGGAGTTCGAGGAGGTGGCAACGCTGCAGCTCAAGCATTGTTTTGGCAAGCCAAGAAAGATCTTTCCTTCATCTTAGCTTTTGAATCTGAGAGAGACAGGAATGCGGCCATAATGCTAGCCAGGAGGTTTGCCTTCGATTGCAATGTATGTTCCATTCATTCCCTGCTCAAAAGTAATATTGAGAATCCTTAATTGTTTGAATGATGAGCTTAGCAATGACTAACGTGAATGATTCAGTTTGCCTCCAAATTTTACTTTGTCCAGCATAGGACTTTACATACCATTTTACATACCAGTAAATGGGATGCCACATGACTTTTTTTTTCCCTGTTTTGACTTAAGATCTAATAGTGATATAAATACAAATGTTGGGCAGATCATTCTTGCTGGACCCGACGACCGAGCTCCATCAGGAAACTGATGAACCTTTGTAGATCTCCCCTAAATGTAAATTATCCTTAGCTCCCTTTATTCACCATTTAATAGTTGAATATGGCATTATGAACTGTTATATTGGGTTCCCTATTTGTTTGTGGTGCTTCTGTTTTCTCCACACCTTTTTTTCCTTCCTAACATTAAGGCATATTTTTTTTTACTGTTTGCCTTTTTGGTTCAGAGTCCTAACAAAGCTGTCCCCTTTATGATTGAATTTGTGGTTGTGTTTCATCCAACCAATAGATGTAAAATGGAATCTTCTGAGTAGTTGTCACTCTTACATGATTGATATATATATATATATATATATATATATATATATATATAGTGCATGTGTGAAGTTTTTCAAAGTAGATACAATTCAAAATCTTGAGGGCTCTAGTGTCATATTCTTTATCTGGATACCCGGTTTCAAATTTCTCCAAGTTTTAAATGTCTGTTTTTGTTTATTTTAAGTTTCGAGTAAATTTGAGATACAAGCTGTAAATGTTGAAATGCAGATGAAGTTAAAACTCAAGTCGGTGTAGAAAGGAAAATACTTGCCTATACATCGGTCGGTAAAAGTTCTACTAACCTTTTTATATGCAACGTATTTCTATTGGTTAAAAGATTTTAGCATGATCTACTTATCTATTTTATTAGAACAATAAAAATGTGATATCGAAAAGTCAATAGACTGGTGCGTAGGCAAGTATTTTTTGTGTCGAAAAGTGGGACATTTTGGGATGAGAGGGGTTGCAAACTTTACAATATTAAAGTTATAATGTTATAATTATTAAATTATAGATAAAATGTTGAAAATTTTTAAATGAAAGGATACTTTTTTTCTTTCACCAAGAGATATGAAATGGATATGATGTGTGTTAAAAGTTCATAAAATGGGGGATTTGTTTTCTTGCCTCAAGAATTCCAGTCATTGTGTTTCTCAAGGAATTGTTTTTCTTAAAATTTGAGATTTTTGCAATCTTTCATTGGCTAGTGTGATATAATAATCAAGCCTCACCCCTAGGCATTTAAATTCTATATTTAATTCTAATTAAAGGTACTTTGAAAAAAAGGTTACTTTTACTTGAAAATTAATTAGCTTTATGCTATTTTGAATGAAAAATTAAGATAAAAATATTGCAATAAACAAATTTATAATAATGTTGATGTAAATGAAGAGACTAGCGTAATTGACATATATCTCCAACTAAGAGGTTAAGGTTGTGAGTTTGATTTCTTATCCTCACAGGTTGTACTATAAAAATATATATATTAAGTGTTAAGTACATTATAATATTATATCTAGTACCAGTTGTCATTCAAATCTCTCTATTATAATAATATTTTATATTCAAACAACGAAACAAAATATGTAAGCAACTTGCATCTTGATTTGAAAAATATTGTCCATTCTACAAGAACAGGAGTGATTTACAAAGAGTAATTTACATCACATTTCTCTACAACAATTATCATTACGGAAAGTGATTAAGCAAAAAATAATATTATTCACAATTAAAAAGAAAAAGAAAACTAGTTACTTTTAAATAAGACAATTAATCAAATCATGAAAATTTTCACCAATAAGGTAGTAAGATATAGCTTTAGTTTAAAGTATTTTTCAACAAAGTTTAGATAGGTTATTATGTCAATTGTGGAAGTCTTGGGCTTAATAATTATCAAATGGAATAGTTTACTTGCCATCTACTTTGAAAGGCTGACTTTTAAGGTTTCAAGAAAATTAAATTAGGTGTTATTTTACAATTTAGTCCAAATTGTAACGCATTCATAATTATGTGCTACATTTATTTATCAGAAAAAAAAGAGTAGACGAGAATCATAGTTTATTATAATAAATTAGAATGAATTCCAAATTTATAGGTCTGACACTAAATTAAGAACAGGATTCATCATTCTGCCAAAGCAAGCTTAGTTCAACCGTAATTGTAAAAAAGAGAATGTGATTCTTGATTCTAGAGGATAAGATTGATCTCAATGGTAGGAATTGTAGGAATCTCCCTCGACAAAATTTATCCTTTTAATACTTTTCTTTTTATATCTACCTATGTCTTTGTATAACACCTTTAATATAAATTAGATTCCTTCTCATTTCATATATTAGTAAATATAAATATTTTTTCCGTTACTAAAGTGGAGTAAGCAATTCAAACCTATGACCTCACCAATCAACACCCATATTTTGTTAGATGCGAGCAAATTTTTGACGAATAATTAAAAAATATATTTTTTTATTTTTCAAAAACTTAAAAAACTGTAAAGTTTTTATTGGTGATCAGTAAGAAGATAAATGCATATTAGTAAGCATCTAAGTATTGTTCATTTTCTAACAGGGTATTCAAAAAACTTGATGACTTGAGTTCGATCTAAAGAGTATTCAACTTAATCCAATCCAATTTATAAACAATAAACACCCTTATTTTATCGTACGTTCACGCCAAGATTTTTGTAACCCTACATTATCCTAAAACAAAGTTGACATGACTAAAAATGAATGATGACCAGTGACCAAGTTGTAGACAAGTATTGTCTATTAATAAATTACATAGATTTTGCAATTTAGCAAGATAGAGAGGAAAAATTAAAAAAAAATAAATAAATAAATAAAAAGGAGAGAGAAAAGAGAAAAAAACAAAATCAAAATCCCCCATTCTCTCTCTCTCTCTCTCTCCCAATTTTTCTGAGCCTCACACTGAAAAATTCGATCTCAAATGCTCTGTTCAAGTTCAAGGTCCTCCTCCAATGGCGTCTGACAATTCCAACTCTCGCCATTTCTCCTGGTTCATCAAATCTTGCTTCCCTAACCCCA